TCTTCTACGTCGCGGAGACTTTCTACGCGGCTCGATGAATTGGTCGGTTCGATCGATTAAAACATTTCAACCGATTTGACCGGAGACTGCTTGAGAAAGCTTTAAGGGAGAACACTTCCTCGCAAGTGCGAAGCAACAGGCGAGTCTGCCAAACGTTAGAAAGCAGTTATTACGAAAATTCACATAATGCCAATATACAGAGTAGACCACACAATAAAAAATGTTAGAAAGCAGTTATTACGAAAATTCACATAATGCCAATATACAGAGTAGACCACACAATAAAAAAATAAAATGTCAATTTTATGTCCCAGAAAATTCACTCTAAGTTTTCAGTAAAAATAACCTATCTGCTTATTTATTACTTGATAAATTAAAAATGTTAATTATTTGACACTCGAACATCCACTTCTTACATTTGTGTTTGTTGTTTTGACTTTAAATCCGATGTAAAAATAAATACAAAATAATAAAAAATATACCAAGTAGTAGTTAAAGTAACTTGTAAGAATTGTTAATGGAACATTTCTATATATATAATAATAACATAAAAATTAGTATATTTTAAAGCAACTTTTCAGTTACTTACCACATTAACATGCATAAAATATTGTTTAATTGCGTCTAAAGTCAAAACAACAAATATAAATATAATTAATTAACATCTGGTGACATTCCATTTTTTATTGTCTGAACACGGAAAGTACATAAAAAAATACAATATTAAAAATGCACGGATCGGATGCACGTGTATCTTCTATAAAAAGAAAAATAATATATTTTAATTTAACAAGACAGAAGTTGTGACATTATATTACATATCAATGGCATAGCTAGGGGGGAGCTGAGGGGGCTCCAGCCTCCCCCGAAATTAATTTTCTTCCAGAAAATTAATTAATTTTCTGGGTTACGCTAAGTGTGAGAAAAATTTATTCGAATGACCTTTTTTTTCACTCGTCAAAAATAAAAAGTGCAGCCCTCCCAAAACTTTTTTCCGGCTACGCCACTGTTACATACGTTAATTTAAAAACAAATATAACTAATAAATGCCCGTTCTTTATAATTAAAAATGCTTCTTGCATGATGAAAAAATCATTTAAATAGCAATTTGTTTTCATATGTCTTTCCGTGACGTTCAAGGATTATAAATATTAAAGAGAAATAATCGAGACTCTCCAAGAGGCGATGTACCTCAGGACCGATAGCAATTAAACGTGTCTTTGTTAAACGGACGGAGAAGTGCTTCGTTAAAGTAACCTCGAGCAAAAATTCTGAGAATACAGAACCAAGGAATCGACGGTATCGACTGCGCCTGACCTAGTGGCCTTTGAAACCGAGTGGAAAACAGGAGCTAAATTTGTGTTCCTCGTTGAGCTCTATCCCACCCCCGTCTTTGATCTCAAAGACGACTTCTCACGTGGACGTATCACCGCGGATAACCACCAGACGCTTTCTCAACTTCACCGGTGTATCGCGGCACAAAGGAACATCTCATGTCACTGACATCCGTATCTACGAAATGTTTGATCCACCGATGTATGTGGTGTGCGATTAGCAGGAAGGATGGATCTTCTAATAATCCCGAGAAGATCAAAATAAAATCATGTTCTTAATTTTCATAAAGAAACAAAACGTAACATCGCGTAACATTGCGTTCCTCACAATATTGTCCTTTTTCCCACTATTACAATATAATTAGTCACGTGATTATTATCGATTAGTATACTAAGTAGCCACCATCAATACCAAAGCACATACCAAACCATAAAATGATTCTGGATGTCACATGAGAATTTAATAATAATAATAATAACTTGACTGATCACAATAAAGAAAGAAAAGAAAGTAATAATACAATATATACACTGAAAAAAACATCTAAAAAATAAGAAATATTTATTTGATGTTACTGATAACATTTATTTGTACTAATTTACAAACACCCACATATTTTCTCACATCAAGAACAAATTTCTTTCGAATGAGAAAATATATATTTTTCTAAAACACCCTCTCACTTTTCATGTAAGCAATTATTTTTTTATTTAAAGAAAAAAACTTAGATTTAAGTAAACATGTTATTAATACTCATCGAATAAAAATGTTTTAGTTTCTGGATATTTTTTCTCTCACTATCTCTTTTTCACATACCTTTTTAGATATTTTTTTCTGAGTATTATAAGCCGTTAAGCTAAAGCTAAACCTATAAGCTAAAAATAATAAAAATGATAATAAAGATACAAAAATTAAGCGCTAAAGTATGCTCGATCAAACGAAACATTCGGTAACAAAGCGAAACGTAGGGAGCGAAGAGGCAGAATGAACGAATAAAGGTAACGAATCGTAATACTGTACTATAACAAAGTAAATTTATATTATCAAATAGAGTTCCACCTTCCTCTCTTTCGGTTTTATTAGTGTAAGTACCACATGGAAAGAAACAAACGAATCTTTTAATCAACTTAACGTTTCGGGCACGCGCCAACGCCTGAGAATGAAATTGCAGGCTGCAACCGGCAATAAGGTGAGTTAAATTGATAGCTAATTAAATTGATCGAATGTTAAATAGCCGATCCGTTCGATCGTGATCGCGAGGTGCGCGAAATACCGTCGCGAGTGATATCCTCGAGAATTTACCGCTTCTGGATACATTTCGATAAGATGAAAGCGTTCAGGATCGAACGATACTCCCAATCTCGCTGAATGCCGGAGAAACACCCGGTATAATTCAACGAGGGTAGATCCGCGGGCGCAGTAGCTGATAGTGGTAAGTGATGGACACGGATAATGTGCTGCATCTACTTTGCCCGAGAATAGGAGAGCTCTCCTCGGGCGTTCGAGCTTTTATTAAACAGCGTCTTTGTTTCGAAGCAGAAGGGAGAACGAGAAATCGCCGTTTCGTCCAAGAGATTCCCTTCTGCGGTCAGGAAGCCCTGTTCGGATGACCGTATTCTTCCTCTTAACGTTTGACATTTGCAGCATATCGTGTAATTTCCACCGTCAGAGCTATCTTTAAGTTAAAAGAAAAAATTAACAAAGGTGTAGTCGTATGCAGCAATATTGTGAAATATAACAAACTGAGAGATAAAATTTTTTTCTTTCCTTTTTTTAAAATTATTATATTTTTCATATTTTTCTAGAATTGTATATATTTGATTCAAGTAAGACAGGTAAATGTCTCAATTAATAATTGTGCCCCAATTTATGACAAGTGGTCATCCGTTTTTTTTAATGAGTCACTTAATACGAATCCACATTGAAAAAAAGAATATTCTTGTTTGAAGAATATCTTTATTGTTGACATTTTAAAAATATGATTAATGTTAAAATAAGATTATATAGCGTTGATAAATTAGTTTTCAATCAAGACGAATATAATCAAATTAATAAAATTATTTTCTCATAGAATATTATAATATTAATATTCCTAATTATATATTATTAGTCTTCAACCAAGACGAATATAGTTAAGAATTAACACAATCATTTTCTTATATAAGCAAGAATATTAATATTGTCAAATTAACACAATCATTTTCTTATATAGCAAGAATATTAATATTCGAATATTCTATGAGAAAATGATTGTATTAATTTGACAATATCCGTCTTGATTAAAGGCTAATTTATCTTCGTTCAACGCCATATAATCTCATTTTAACATTAATCTTATTTTTAAAATGTCAATAATAAAGATATCCTCCAAACAAGAATATTCTTTTTTCTGTGCATATTTATCCTAAATATACGTATGTCTTTATTTTAAATTTTATATATTATCAATTACAACAAGTTTCAAATAAAAGAATCGTAAATATGCCAGAATATCATGATTTCACAAGCGTACTACTGACGACATTCAAAGATTTGCTCGCTGACATCTTAGAAACTAACAGCTAACATCATATGTCTGTTTATCAAATCTGTGTAATTATTCTTTAACTTTAAGGGATTGAAATGTTAAAATTGAGAGAAAATTAAAAAATGTTTTATAAGGAGAAATTTACAAAATATGTAATTTCTGTAATTAATTTATATGTGTTATTGGTCGGTATCAGGATATTTCTTTGTCCCCATTATTGACAATCTGAATAAATCTATATATATAAAATAGCACATTTCTCTGTTCCTTATATATTCCTAGGCCGGTATTCATAGTCGAATCTTATTTCAAGATCGTCTTAAGTAATGTCTTAAGATGCAAATACAGCTCTGTGATTGGTTCATGATATCTTAAAACAGTACTTGAAAGATGATCTTGAAATAAGATTCGACTATGAATACCGGCCCTAAACCCTTTAACTGATCTTCAAGATGACATATACGGTATGACAAGATGACATGTCATCGATACGGTAGCAGATATGCAACAACCTCGACGAATTTGCAGATTATCACGCCAAAGAGAAAAACTATACAGAAGGAATAATTTAGTTGAATCAAACAAACACTTCTTTGGAATGGTCCAAACCAATTTTTTTATTAATCGAACAAAGTTTCGTTTGACACAACAAAAATATTTAGTCACGGCTTAGTTCCAACGAAATATTTTTGTTGTGTCAGCCAAAAAATTTATTTTTAGACCAATCCAAAGAACGTTTATTTAATTCAACAAATCGTTCTCTCTGTGTACGTTTTACCGTTCGAATAAAAAAGTCACTGTAAAAGCAATGAGACGACAAATGGTCGCGCGTTCAGTTTACTGAAAATCTTGCAGTTCTTGCACGTGATTTTCGTTGCCAGTGCCTCTTCGTATCATACAATCCGATGACGTCACAAGAAATACATTCAAGGACCGACACGTTAAACGGGATGTACCAACACTCGTCTTCAACCCCATGAAAAGTTTTATCCGACCAATAGGAATCGCTGGTGCCGCCATGCGCCGTCCAATCACGGTAAGATCGTCATTGAGAAGGACGAGCGCGAACGGGGGAGACCGAGGTCTTAAGAGGACCTGTTAAGGATGGTACCGGCACACTGTTGCGCGTGTCCTTAAAGACGGCGAGTCGTCAATCGCGATCGCGCGACATATAATATTAAAAAGGGAAAAAAGAAAACAGAATAAATTCCATTGACGAACAGTACCATCGCAATCGCCGACGGAGGGACGATTGTCCTGCAAATCCGTTTGTATAAAAATCAGCATGAGTGGGTCAGGGAAAGGTCTTCTCGGGGTGTGGCTGTACAGAAGAGGCGAAAGCTGGGCCATCAAGGAGGGAAGTCCACTGCATAAATCACGCGATGTACGTCGCGAATTAATCTATTCTTTGTTGAATATTCCGTCATTAGCCTCTTTAAAATCCTCTTGTTGATGTTATTTCCGTTTCCCGAGGTTCAGGAAAGAAATCTCTCGTAACTCTTTATAATTTTTAATATAGAACTCACTCACGCTGAAAGAGTAACAAAAAAGATCGACGATATTTTGATGAATTATTATCTTTAATATTCTACTAATTAATCTTAGCAGCTTATATAAATAAAACCAAGTTATCCATTTATTTTTAGAATACAGTGGTATATATGTAAAATAGCTGCAGTGTCATAACTGTGGCATTATACATGAAAATCATAACTCGTCGATAGTTATACTTATCACAAACAAATTTTTCCATTTTAAGTTATTTTTTTTTATTTGCTATATTACACGTGTTATTTATTCATGCATCATAATTCTTCCTAAATCAAGTTGAACGTTCGATCGTGTCTAATTCTAGCGAAAGTAAATATGTTCTAAAAGCAGATTTACACAATGCCAAACGAAAGATACGGGACAATTTTAATAAGCGCATTCTTTTGTTCATTCAGATTCCTATGGATGATAATAACTCGGCTAACGACAACAAGAATTCTGTGATATTTTCCTTGAAGAACCAAGTCGGCGGTTTGGCACGAGCGCTTCAAGTATTTCAGGTATGCTGTGTACTCTTCGTTCTCAACATGCCTGCGATAAAATTAGTAATAGTAATACCGTGCACTTTCCAAATACGCTTTTCTATCGTTCCATCTTAGTTTACTAAAAAATAATATTTTAAAAGCTAATCGTCAATCTACGAAAATTAATAGAAATTAGACAAAGAATTTGTCGTAACAACAATTAGATTAATCGCATTGTGATTGTTGTTTGACGTAACAACAATCACAATGCGATTAATATTGATACAATGTTGTATCAAATTTTAACCTATAACGTGCTTGCAAAAGAGAGAGAATATTCCTTCTTTCTTTCTCACAATATTTTGATAGAGTAAAGTTATGATTAGACTTTTTTTGTGAGAATTCTAGTTTTACAATATCGTGATAACGATCCTTGCATATATTAAATATCACATTTTATATACGAGAAACACCTAAAATATAATTTCACATTTGTGTATAAAAATATTGCTTAACTGAAATATAATGCAAACATTAGACTTCTTATATAACATGTTATATTAAAGTTATGTTGCTGTTATATTGTTGGTGCAACTTAACCAATAAATAACATAATAACATAACAGTTTTATATCATAGTTATATCGCAATTATAAAGGAAATTAAGTAACCTCAATATTAATAACGTATAACAGCAGTTATATTACATATTACTCCTGTGTTATATCACAGTTATGTCCTGTGTTTGCTGGGATCTCTATTTTTAAAATAAAAATAACTTCTATTTTTTAAATAAAACACGCGTTGAAAGAATAACGAAAGAGATCGATGATATTGTGATAAATTATCCCTTATTTGCTCCTTAAATGTCCAAGAGAGACATTTTGACTATTTATTTAATAGCCAATATTACAAGGATAAGTATACAAACTATTATTTGCAATTTTAATTTTTTAATTCCGATTAAACTTTTATTAAACTTTTAAATTCCGATTATTCTGTTCCGTTTCGATGCCAAACTTTTTGCAAAATTTAATAGACAAATGGCAAACTTTCTACACCAACCTAAGATCATTAGACACATATGTATAACTTGGAACAACACAAAATTTAAAAACCGACTATACGAATAAAAATATTCCACATCAATAAACACACTCACTGAGGACAAAGATATCGAGAAGACACAGGTATTTTTTGTCGCGCAAAGGATTTAGGTGTAAACGTCGTGCACATCGAGTCGAGGAAGTCTCTGCGTCGCGGCTCTGAATACGAAATCCTTGTGGACGTGGAGTGCGACTCGAAGAGGATGGAGCAGTTGATGAAGATGTTGAGCCGCGAAGTGGCTGCGATCAATCTCGCCCATTACGAGCATATTGGAAATATGCCGCGCGCGCCTTCCCTTTCAGCCGCGACAAGCTTCGGTAAGTGCCTTTTAAACAAAACAGATTAAAAATGATAAAAATATACCCAAATTTTATTAAAATATTAAGTAAATTCATATGAACCTATTATTTCTATCGGAGATCTTACAATTTCTTATATTTCAGCTTATATAAAAAGTTATTAGTTTCTTCCTTATATCATACTGTAACTTACTTTTGATAATTAAATATCATATTAAACAACTTAATATTTCCATTTTTCGTATAGAAACGTATATTTATGATACAATTGCATAACAACATATTTTAACATTAAATTTTTCCAGTTTATTTACTATATTTTATATTCTGACTTTTAAATTTTTATCTTTTTGAACCACAATGAAATTTTACATGTGTCATTTTAAATGCTTAAAATACATATACACAAAAATTGTTACTTTAGTAATTATTTTTTAATTATCTTAACGTTATATATTTCCGTAACAGCTATATATTATAACAAATATATATATTTAAAATATTTCCAAATAGAAAAATTACGTCAAATGACATATTAGTGACGTACTATTGGTATTTGACATATCATTAAAATGTTATTTGACGTCACAATATGTTTGCTGGACTTATACTTCAATAAGACTTACATTGGAATAAATTTAATCTCCACACAAACACACACATACACACACACAGGTACTCTAAATCAATATCAAATTACCTGTAATAATTTTTAGATGCAAATATAGATTAATTTCTAATTCTTTTCGAAACGTTTTCATTGAGATATGGGAAATACATAACCCTAAAGCGCAGAGTGTGTGTTTACATGTACGTTGCACCGGATATCAGATAAAATAAATTATTTATCATGACGAAACACGGTTAAATCCAACTCTGACATCGCATTGTCAGTACAACGTCTGCTTACATCGACGACTTGATATAATGAGATTCTGTCACAACGAGTCACAGCTTTGATCGGAAGCATTCGAGCTTCGATCGGGAAAAGAAAATTCAGCTTAATTTATCCGTTATGTAATATAATTCCACAAAAGCTTCCACCTTTATCTACCGCGGCTGCGCTTCTTCATTATCTATTTTTGCCCATTTTCATCTCTTCAAAATGTCTATTTTCACAAGAAAAGGAAGGACATTGGACGCGATTGGACCACTGAAATAATTTGACAAGTCGCCGTACACTTTGACAACTGCGGTCTTGCGATCGGTGTTTTAATATTTATTGTGAAAGATTCAGTGTAAGAGATTTTTGTTACAATATCGAGCGAATTCCAATTTTATCGCGCACATTCGTTATTGTTCCGTCTCTGGAAAGCTCTCGCTAATGGAATATCTTATCGTGTGGTAAAAGTAAGACACAACAAAATTTCAATTTTATAGATTTCAGCGAAGTAGATATGCCCTGGTTCCCTCGGAAAATATCAGACCTCGATAGAGCACAGAAGGTTCTCATGTACGGATCAGACTTGGACGCAGATCATCCTGTACGTTTTCCACAAAGATTTTCTAATTAGCAGGATGACACCAGATGACGCATTAATAACCCATTCATAATATCTCTTCTGCGTCGATAATACACTGAGAAAAATATTTAAAAATTTTTATTGAAATATAAAGTCTATTTCTATAAAATCAAGCTTATTTCTGCAAATAACACCTTTATGATCTACAAATAAATTTTTAAATATTTTTTCCTTAGTATACACTGAATGAAAGAATATTTGAAATATAAAAAATATTTATTAAATGTATTTAAATAGAATAAACAATTGCCTTCATGAAAAGCAACGGTTTTAGAAAAATATATATTTTTCAGAGAAATTTCTAATTTCGCCAAAACAATTTTTTTCAATAATAATAAAAATATATATATCAGTACAAGCATATCAAAAAAATATTTTTAATTTTGAGATATTTTTTCTCTAAGTTGCGTCATTTGACGTCATCATGTTTATTGGGTTGTTGCATGCTATTTACCGCCGTTTTCCCGCTCGCGTGCTCGCTTTAACGCAACTATTGGATAATTTCAGGGCTTCAAGGATCCTGTGTATCGCAAACGTCGCGAAGAGTTCGCCGATATCGCCTATAATTATAGGCAGTAAGTAGAATTATCGTTTACGTGCCGCGGCGATGTTTTTAAACAACTTGGCTGTTTCAGCGGTCAACCGATCCCGAGAGTGCAGTACACATCGGAGGAAATCAGAACCTGGTACGTATGCTTCAGATAATACGATGTTATTACATTCGTGAAATCCATAGTTGCTGAGTATAATGCAGCCCGTATATCTTCCTTCTCGTCTGAAACGTCTGAACGAGTCTGTCTGTAAAATTTATACGATGTACGGAGAGAATCTTATATAGTAAAGATTACTTTTATAGTAATTATTTTTATAGTAAAAATTATTTTTAGAACTATTAGAAATATTATATTTAAAATTATTCAGAATACTAGAATTTTTTCTAACCAAGAAATAGATCAACATTCTGCAATAATTTACTATCCTTTTATTTACGTCCTATTATATATATTCCTATACAGTCCTATTATTTACATCCTTTTATATACGTGCTATTTATATTTTAGGGACTGAAATATGCTATTAAAAAATTTGCCAAATTTCTCTCTTTTTAACGAAATTTGCAATGCTTCTAGGAAAATTTATTATGTTTCTTAGCAAGATGGATCTTACTGACAGTCAAATTTACATTACTATTAGAAACGCGTTGGTAACGAATAGAGGAATGCCAATAGAAGAAATCCTTGCGATATTATTTACGCGAACGAGATATCGCTGCGTCAACTGAAAATTGAATGTTGCACGATGTGTTATGAGTCGTGGATCACACAATTAACGTCTTAGATTCGAAAGATACGAGGCGCAACTTCTCATCATTAAACTACGCAATAAACTACGAACGTGCTTTCGCGTACACGAAGGCAATCGACGCCGGATGGAAAAAGTCGTTTCAGCTTTTTTCGATACTTAAGTTATATGCTCGCTCGGTGTCTTCGATGCGAGCTCTCACTTCTCTCCAATTTAAAACGAAGAAGTTTCTCTCTCTCTCTCTCTCTCTCTCTCTCTCTCTCTCTCTCTCTCTCTCTCTCTCTCTCTCT